GCCCTACACCCCGTGTCCCACCTCCCCATCGCCTGATGTCCCCGTGTCCCCATTCCCCCTTGTCCCCATGGTCCCATTCTCCCATGCCCCCCATGTCCCCATGGTCCCATCTCCTGATGTCCCCTGCATCCCCATGTCCCAGTGTCCCCATGTCCCCTGCATCCCCATTCTCCCATGTCCCCATCTCCCGATGTCCCCATGTCCCCATTCCCCCATGTCCCCATGGTCCCATCTCCCGATGTCCCCTGCATCCCCATGTCCCAGTGTCCCCATTTCCCAATGTCCCCATGTCCCAGTGTCCTCATTTCCCAATGTCCCCCATGTCCCCTTGTCCCCACTCCCCCATGTCCCCATGGTCCCTTTCTCCTGTGTCCCCATGTCCTCACCTCCCAAAGTCCCCATGTCCCCACCCCGTACCTCCCTACGTCCCCAAGTTCACCTCCCCACCCACTACACCCCATGCCGCATGTCCCCATGTCCCACGTCCAAGCGTCCCAAGTCCCCATGTCCCCACATCCCAAGTCCCATGTCCCCAAGTCCTACATCCCCACATCCCACATCCCCACGTCCCCAATCCCACGTCCCCACGTCACTGCATCCCACGTCCCCATGTCCCCATGTCCCCAAAGCCCATGTCCCCACCTCCCACATCCCCACCTCCCACATCCCCACGTCCCACATCCCCACATCCCATGTCCCCACGTCCCATGTCCCCATGTCCCCACAGCCCCACATCCAATGTCCCTGCGTCCCCATGTCCCACATCCTCATGCCCCATGTCCTCCCATCCACACTTCCCCACGTCCCCATGTCCCACGTCCCCATGTCCCACGTCCCCAAATCCCCACATCGCACATCCCCACATCCCCACGTCCCCATGTACCATGTCCCCATGTCCCCACATCCCCAAGTCCCATGTCCCCATGTCCCACGTCCCCATAACCCCATGTCCTCATGTCCCCACATCCCATGTCCCCATGTCCCACTTCCCCACGTTCCATGTCCCACATCCCCACGTCCCCACGTCCCACGTCCCCATGTCCCCACAGCCCCGCATCCCACATCCCTGCGTCCCCACATCCTACGACCCCATGTCCCATGTCCCTGTATCCTACGTCCCCACATCCCCGCGTCCCACGTCCCCGCACCCGGCGTCACCTCTCGCAGGACGTGTGCTCCGACTGCCAGCAGATCGTCACCCTCCTCACCCGCATGGCCAACGAGTCGGCCACCAAGGTGCCCG